GTCTGTTCTTTTCAGAGTTATGTTTGAGGGTTTCAGCAGTTTTTTAATATGGACTCTGTTTACTAATAAATTACTTTCCTGGTGGGCTTTGGCTTCAAGCCTTGCTCTGAGTGCTGTGCTCTGATAGTGCTGCACAGATTCAGGATCAGTCGTTCATTTTTTCTTGTTCTGAAAAGACCCCAGAACGCTCTAATGTAGTTGATGAAGTTGGGTTTTATGTTCTTGTAGCCTCCCATCCTTAGGCACATGTGGCTGTGGAGCTGCTTCGGGGCCTTCTGGCAGCATGTGCAGTTGGATGATTGAGGTCCTGTGTCAGCAGCTTCAAATGGAAGGTCATAAACTCTGATACCGCCAAGCCCATCCTCCTTCCCTCAGAGCTGTGCAGCCTTGGTCGGGATGTTTCTAGAATCCAACCATGCCAGAGTACAAGTGCTCATGTTGGCAAACCATGTGAGAAAGGGAGAGAAGCAAGGATGTCACCTGTTTATGCAATTGCATACTTGAAAATTAGAGTTGTTGGGTTTTTTCCCAGATTCTTTCAATAAGGAAGGCTGTCTCAGCCTCCTCCTTTGAGATTTTTTTTTCCCCTGTTGGCTGCCAGAGATGGTGTTTGTTTATGCTGAAGTCAGTTTAGGAAGGTTGCAACAATATCCATGCAGAAACTGTGGTCTTGCAGATCTGAGGTCAGAGTTCAGCTCAGGACAGGAGAGACAGAAACACATTTCAAACATTCAGATTCCGGCCTGTTTTATCCCTTCACTTTCAGTTTTTCATTTATGTCTAAATTTGCCAGCAGGATTTTTGCTGCTTGGCTTTATTCGCAGAAAGGTGAATGCTTTCAGACCCTTTTCTCCCTAAATATTGGCAGTCACAACATACGTTGTTATCAGAAGGTCTCCAGCAGTAAGGCTGTTTATGCAGTACGGACTGTTTCGGGAGCTAGGTAGGGGAGGGATGGAGCAGGTTGAAAATAAATAGCATTCTGTTCAAGTTTTATGATCTCTGCCCATGATGAGAGACCACTCTCAGACCACAGAGTGGAGCTCCAGGCCTTGCTGTGGACTAGGCCAGCTGGAATAGTGCTGATACTGGTCACTGTGATGGGCAAGCACAGGATAGGAACTGTCCTTGTCTTTTCTAGGTAGGATGCAAAAAGAGCTTATTTTTCCTTCTAGTTCCTGGATCTGTGTGCGTTGGTCCAGCAGCCTGAGGTAGACGTGTACCTGCATGCTAGAGCCCGTGACGGAGGTGCATTTGTCAGCGGGTGGGGTTCTTGCAGCAGCAGGTGGTTGTTGGAGGACATGCCTTCTAGTAGGATGCCTTTGCCTCAGAGCCTCACACGTGCAGCGGCCGCAGTGCTCTGCAGTCGCAGCTCTCGCCTGCTCTGGGACCGTGGGTGTCTGCTCACACATCGGTCACCCGGCTGTGTTTGGCACAGAGAACTCTGGGCCAGCAGAGAGGTAAAGCTGCTGGCCCACATGTTTGTGGGTTGCAGGAGTTGCAGTGGGGCGGGGGGCAGAGCAGGGATGCCTGATGGCTGCTGTGTGAGACTTGAGGAGGGCGAGTTGTTAGTCATAGAATCACAGAGTGGTTTGGGTTGGAAGGGACCTCAAAGATCATCCAGTTCCAACCCCCCTGCCATGGGCAGGGACACCCTCCACTACACCAGGTTGCCCAAAGCCTCATCCAACCTGGCCTTGAACACTTCCAGGGATGGGGCAGCCACAACTTCTGTGGGCAACCTGTGCCAGTGCCTCACCACCCTCAGAGTGAAAAATTTCTTCCTTAGATCCAATCTAAATCTCCCCTCTTTCAGTTTAAAGCCATTGCCCCTTGTCCTGTCACTACACGCCCTTGTAAAAAGCCCCTCTCCAGCTTTCCTGTAGCCCCTTTAGGTACTGGGAGGCTGCAATAAGATCCCCCTGGAGCCTTCTCTTCTCCAGGCTGAACAGCCCCAACTCTCTCAGCCTGTCTCCATAGCAGAGGTGCTCCAGCCCTCGGATCATCTCCGTGGCCTCCTCTGGACCCGCTCCAGCAGCTCCTTGTCCTTCTTGTGTTGGGGACTTGTGTTCTAGTCTGGAAAAGTACATTCCTCGTGCCACCTGAGCTGCTTACACAGGCCGTGTCGCTGTGCTCTCTAGTGTGGTTTCAGGATTTGGGTGCTGAGTAAGTACTGAACAAGTGTAGTTGTTTTGTGACATTGCTCCAGATGAAATCCTGGGATCTTTCCAAAGTGGAGTGCTTCCAAGAAGCAGAGCGTGGGGAAAGAGGACAGAGAAAAGGAAATATTTGATAATTAATGCTGTTATGTTCTGAAGCAGTTTTACCCCATTGCCAGTGTCATGTACCTCCAATGCTTGTGCCTCTCAGTGTGAACACAAAAGGGAGCTGATGATTTCACTTCTCTTTTTCTTCTGTCTAAAAATACACCAGCAGACGTGGTTTTGCTCTATATTTTGTAGGTGGTACTGGCAGAAGGAAAAGAGAGAGCCTTATGTGAAATTTATGGAGGCAAATTACCCACCTGGGTTCAGTTACGAAAATTTTGGGCCACTGTTTACAGCAGAATTCTTTGATCCCAACCAGTGGGCAGATATTCTGAAGGCTTCAGGCGCAAAGTACGTTGTCTTGACTTCAAAACATCATGAAGGTAAGTGGAAGGTTTGTGAATGTTAGTAATGGTTGCATTTCTGTCAACAGAAGAAAAAAAACAGGTGACTTTCCTGCCTGCTAAGAGAGATAGAGAAAGCCAGGCAGGCTTAAATTTGTTTTTTTGTTGTCATACAATTTGTTGCTCAAGGAACCACAAAGCATGTTCTGCACTGCTTCAGGAATGGAGAGCTGCTGTGTACAGGTAGTTCATGAGCTCTGTAGATTTCTCCAAGGAACTTAGAGAGAAACTCCTCCAAGTTCCAGGAGTCAACTTCGGAGTTAGACATTTACACAGGGTACAGCTCTTCCTGATGCAGTGCATGGAAGCCAAAACCTTGAGCCAGGTCTGTAACTTTTGATTTTGTAACAATTGATTTTTGGCACTGTAATTGTTAAGATGCTCTGCAGAGAAAAGTAAAGAGAAAGAAAGTGGCTGGAAGGAAACACGGTAGCAAAGAAAGTATAAAATACTAAGATGCAATATGACAGTACATCTAGTGAGTGTTGTTGGTGTTTGGGGAGATGTAGGTTCAAGACTGGCAACTAGTAACTTGTGAATTTTAATCTCGGCTCTGACACATAAAATCCTCATCCTGATGATGCCCGCGGCGCAATTCCCACCGACTTCAAAAGAACCATGATTCATGTAGCCTGTCTGTAGCCACAGGCATGAATTTTTATATCTTGTTTGTCCAGTCGATACAATTATGTGTGTCCAGTTCACAAAAATATTGCAAGATTTATTCGGCTGAGTGTGAAGCAGTTTGAAGGTGAGTGTGGAGCTCCTCTGCACAGCGGTGCAGTAGTACTTGCAAGTGCTTGTGCTGGATGTCTGAAACGTTAAATCCCTCCTGATATTTAATGCTGATGTTTTACAAACTCTTTCAGGAGTTTCTGCACTCTGCTTATATACGTGTACCGAGTAGCTGATGGAGCTGTTAGAAATATCAAGACAAATGAAAAGGGGACATTCACATGAGATGTGAGCAGAAGGGAGGAGAGTAGCAAACGACAGCTTGTGCATTCTGCAACTGAGAAAGTGTTTTATCTTCCAGTTGTTGAATGTGTGTTCACAGTTCACGTTCGATACATTCAGTGAAAATGTAGATGGCTCGAAAGTTGCTGGGGTTTTGGTGAATTTAATTTGGATATCTAAAAAGCGTGAACAACTAAGGAGGAAGGGATAATTATCTTGAACTGTACAGAATCAGAAAATTGAATGCTTTTAAGTGTATATATATGTATTTATATATATATTTATATACATATGTGTATGTATAAAAAAATACATGACCATATCTGCTGTGATGTTCTGATGTTATGACTACTGTCACTGTGCATAAACAGAGATTGTAGGTGTACTTTATACCCTAACAATATTATTACATATATTATTTTTATTATTTTATATTCATTTTTTGCAACACACTTGCAAAATGCTTCCCAGCAAGATGAATTACAGCTTCCTCTCTTCTGCTTCCCTTTCTTATCTTTTGATTTTTCTGTTTTCAGGCTTTACTTTGTGGGAGTCCAAATATTCTTGGAACTGGAATGCTGTTGATGTGGGACCAAAACGAAATCTTGTGGCTGAACTAGCAACATCTGTTAGGAACAGGACTGACTTGCATTTTGGGTTATATCATTCCCTGTTTGAATGGTTTCATCCTCTCTTCCTTGAGGATGCCACCAATGGCTTTAAGACAAGAAAGTTTCCAACCAGTAAATCGTTACCAGAACTCTATGAAATTGTGACCATGTACCAGCCAGAAATACTTTGGTCTGATGGGGATGGAAATGCACCAGATACTTACTGGAACAGCACTGGTTTCTTGGCTTGGCTGTATAATGACAGGTAGGTAATGATGCCGATTTAGCTCCCTATCTGAAATTCTGCTCTGTGTCTAGTTTGTCTCATTTTCTGTATATTTTGTGCAACCTGTTACCTCTACTTACAAGGACTTAACTAAACTAAACAGGTTGTATTTTGTACAACCTGTTACCTCTACTTACAAGGACTTAACTTTTCCTGCAATAAAGAAGCCAGGTCTTCCCTAGAGCTACCAAAGCTTGCTTTAGAAAAAGATTGTTTCATATTTTTTAAACTACGTTTGAAAATTAGTCAGTTAAGATGATACTGGCTATTCTACCTAATTGTATTGTTCCTTAAGTATTGTCTACTGCACAGACAAACAGGATAGCGGGATAATTTGAGAATATGTGTACCTTTTGGTCATCCTACATGGAACATATGGAACAGACGTGAGGTGCAGGCTGGTTTCTGGCAGACCTCCTCTGAAAGTCTGCAGCATATTTCCCTAGGAAAGGCTGATCTGGACCTTTTACTTAGCAAAGGATAAGAATGGGATTCCTGAAATTTCCCTTAGTCTAATTGTAATAAATTAGTAGTACAAAAGTTGTCCTAAATGCTGGTTTCTGGGAAGGAGGGGGGTGTGTGTGTGTGTGGAAAGGGATCACATGGCTGTGACTACGTTTTGTAGAATAAAAATCATAAACTTGACATTTCTCTGTTTCCAGTCCAGTTCGGGACACAGTTGTGACCAACGACCGCTGGGGACGTGGCAGCATCTGTACCCATGGTGGTTTCTACACTTGCAGTGACCGGTACAACCCTGGGCACCTCCTGCCTCACAAGTGGGAGAACTGTATGACCATCGACAAGAAGTCGTGGGGGTACAGGAGGGACGCGCAGCTCGATGACTACCTCACAATCGAGGACTTGGTGAAGGTACAGTGGGCCAAAGGGGTTGCTTGCGACTTCTGATTCACCCTTCTGTGAGGGATAACCTTTCAATTATATATCTATTTTAATAAATTATTTATTTTTAATTGAGTAATGAATTGATGAAATTGTAAATCCTTTTGTTCGTTTGCAGCCTAACACTGGCAGGATGGAATATCCATGTAATTCTTACTAATTTTATAGCAATGACTAAGAGAAAAAGTATCTAGTAAAAAGCCAGTCAGGTTTTTAGTGGCTATTTCTCCAGTGAATAACTGGCCAAAGACTGTAACTGGCCAAAGACTGATCTGGATAGTCTCATAATTATCTTTTTCTACTAAGCTTTTCTAGTAACTGCACCTCACAGCTGCTGAGAAGCAAACAGTCGCAGTTTCACAGTTCCTCTTTAGGAACTCCTAATTAAAGACTGCATCTTCTCCCTCTTCTAGCTAGAAACAGTTCAGAACTCTCAATAGTCTTTTTACTTTGCAGCAAGAAACTTGCCTTTCGTCACACTTCGTTTAAAGGAAAAAACCAACACCCGTGTTACACATGGGCAGTTGAACACTAGAAAATGCAGATAAAAGGACATTGATTCCCTTTGCTAGTCTAAGTTATTAAAAAAAAAAAAAAAAGATTTGGAGCTCAGGAAAACTGAATTGAAAGGAAGACTTGTCTTTCAGATACAATGCATTTAATTGCAAAATTCAGCCAGTGAGGGGAAGATCGATTGTTATTGTTGCTTAATCCAAATCTTAGCACTGTCCTTGCTCAGGATGATTTCAAATTGAAGTAACCTCTTTGCAGAGGCAGAAGGCTTTAATTCATTCAGTAGCTTGTCCCCAGCTGTCTGTTTCTCAGACTTGTGCATCTCAGTCCATGTTCTCTGGAGGGCAGTGTGGATATGAACACAAGTATTTATGGACTCTAGAAGGCTTCCTAGTGTTTTGAAGATGTCTCTGTAAAATAGGGAGAGCATCAAACAGGAAGAAGAAGTTGCTTCTCTTGGCTTCAGTAAAAATGAATTGGCATCTGTTAGCCTGATTCTCCTCTTGTGTAGAGAAGTCATCTCCTATGCATTTTATCAGTAACACCCTCATGAAATGCCTGCAGAAGTCAAAATGTTCAAAACTTGTAGGATCTGATTCTATCGTAGATTCCATCAGATGTATTGGCGCACAAATGTATTTTGGGCTGTTTTCTGCCATAAAAATTAACAGCAGAACTTTATGGGAGTTTCAATGTTGTATTGACTGTTGGGGTGACCCCCCCAAGTCTAAATACGCAGCAGTAACAAAACTCGTTCAGTTCATCGTTCTGCAGCAGCATGCTTGGCTTTAGAAAGAACTCCAAATGTATGATTTAATTAGTCGTAACCATATGTTCTGTGTGTATGTTTAAAAACATTTCAGCAACTTGTAGAAACAGTGTCTTGTGGAGGAAATCTCTTGATGAATATCGGGCCCACTCATGATGGTCGCATCGCTGTTGTATTTGAGGAACGCCTGAGGCAGATGGGGGCCTGGCTGAAAGTCAACGGAGAAGCCATCTACGGAACGAAACCGTGGAGAGCCCAGAACGACACGATTACGCCAGAAGTGTGGTAAGGCTGCTGAATCAAAGCGTGACCTGCGTAAAGCAGCAGCAGTGTGTGTAAAATTCTGCAGTTCTTAATGACTTGATGCTGCAGAAATCACCATCTACCTTTGCGTGCTGTGAAGAAATTAACCCTTTTGTCAGTTTAAGGATCTGCACATAAAAGTGTGTATAAAACTGTAGGTAGACGATTGGTGTTGGAGAACGTAGTTTTGGGATGGTGCTGAGGCTGAAGACAAGGTTGCAGGCGTTTCTTTAATGATCTTACACTTCTTAGTGTAGCTGGGAACAGTAACTATAGAAAAAAAATAAATCCTAGAATCATGGAATGGTTTGGAAGGGACCTCAAAGATCATCTAGTTCCAACCCCCCTGCCATGGGCAGGGACACCCTCCACTACACCAGGTTGCCCAAAGCCTCATCCAACCTGGCCTTGAACACTTCCAGGGATGGGGCAGCCACAGCTTCTCTGGGCAACCTGTGCCAGTGCCTCACCACCCTCACAGTGAAAAATTTCTTCCTTAGATCCAATCTAAATCTCCCCTTTTTCAGTTTAAATCCATTGTACCTTGTCCTATCACTACACGCCCTTGTAAAAAGCCCCTCTCCAGCTTTCCTGTAGCCCCTTTAGGTACTGGGAGGCTGCAATAAGATCCCCCCGGAGCCTTCTCTTCTCCAGGCTGAACAGCCCCAACTCTCTCAGCCTGTCTCCAGAGCAGAGGTGCTCCAGCCCTCGCATCATCTTCGTGGCCTCCTCTGGCCCCGCTCCAGCAGCTCCATGTCCTTCTTGTGCTGGGGACTCCAGAGCTGAACACAGTATTCCAGGTGGGGTCTCAAGAGAGCAGAGCAGAGGGGCAAAGAGAGGTCTTGACCCTCTTCTCTGCCTCAGTGGGCCTTTTTACCCCTGTTCCCAGTAAGATTTGGCTGTCTATCTGGCTTTAGCCTTGAAATGCTGAACTGGTGACTGTTTAGTAAAACCACTCCCAAGAGAAATAAAATATTGTAACTTAACGAAGGAAGGAATGTTTCAAATGTATGCCACAAGATTTCCAAGGACATACTGTAGATAATGTCTGCTGAAATTAAATTTAAAAAAACCCCTAGCTGTGCAAGGTGGAAGCTTTATTATTTATTGCTTTATTGTTGCACATACTCCTTAATTTTTTTTTTTTTAGTGGAATGTCTGTATGTTTGTGTATAGATGTGAATTACCATATTTTTCTGAATATAACCCACAATTATCTGTTAGTGATTTCCTCTGCCTGGCAAGTACCTCCTTCCTATATGGCTGAGCAGCAGTCAGTTGTTACATGCTTGCTGAAGTTATTACAAATCTTAACCTCTAAATTCAGTTTTTTAATAGTCTCTATTACCTCCAGTTTGTTGGAAAAGATTATCAAGGAACAGTAACTTATAAATTGTCTGAAATTATAATTATGTGTTTGAAAATGTAATTAATCCCAACTTTTCAAATCCATTTTTTGAGTCTTAAAGCAATCTCTATATTGCTTCAGAGAACTTACAAGGGAAAACTGACGTGCGTTTCCGTTCCGCATTTCCAACCAGGTACACATTCAGCCCTAAAGAAGGCAAAGTCAATGCTATCTTCCTGAACTGGCCAGTCTCTGGGACTCTGCAACTCGGTGAGCCACAGGCTAAACTTGGAGAAACACAGGTAAAAGACAACACCCCCCTACCCCACCCCCCCTCTCCATCCCTTCCCTTTTAGAACAGCGAGGCATTTAACACACAGGGCAAGAAACGAACGTATTCCGAAGGAAAACACCTCTAGGATTTGTCGTGTTCCATTAGTGTTTATTTTAATTTCTGGCATCTTTGGGAATGCATAACTTTTAGGATATAGTGCACTAGAAGAGACCAGCAAAATGTTTGGGTTTGTTCTGGGACCTCCTTGGCGTAGTCCTCCCAGTGGGATCCTGCTTCTCCAGCAGACAAAGTTAAACTGAACTGTTGCTGGGATATGTTTTAACTTGCAAACTAAGGAGCACAAAAAGAGGCCAAGTTGCAGGAAAAAAACTTGGCCCCTGCCTCCTGTTTCCTGTGTAGACTTGCATGCGGTGTGACCTTTCCCTATAAATAGCCACCCTCCTGACTTTGGTGATACTGTAATTGCTGTAACGGGGCAGCAGTTTCCTTGGCAGCAGTTTCCTTGGCACAAAGGGAAGGGGTGCAGAGGTTTTCATTGCCCAGGGATGCTAAATAGCAGGTCAGTGTGACCCTAGGTGTGTGTCTTGGAGCAAACAGCCAGAAGTTGAGGACGCTGATACCACCCCTACACTAACAAGTGGTGTAACGCACGGGAAGCAGAGTTAGAGCGCAGAAGAACTGGTGCTCAGGACTTAGTGTCAACACTGGGCATTGAAGGTGGGGATGCACTTGGGCTTAGCTGTGTCCTGGCCTCATGCACTGAGTGTCCACCAGCTGCTGAAATGCATTAAGGGTGTTTCTAGACTGTCTCTTCTGGTCTAGTGCCACAAGAAAAAAAAAAAAAATCTAATTAGTGCCAGGGCAGCTCTGTGCTAAGGAAGAAACATAAGAAAAGTAATTTCAGAAATGATGTAGATGTGTCTTGAATTTTTGTAGTGGCACCTAGAATCATAGAAGGGTTTGGGTTGGAAGGGACCTCAAAGATCATCCAGTTCCAAGCCCCCTGCCATGGGCAGGGACACCCTCTAGACAGTGTGTGCACAGGACAGTAATGTTCCTCAGGGGTGGAGACTGGGCTTCAGCCCTCCTTCAAGTGGCTCCACTGATTTCAGCACTTCTCCAGCTGGCATGAGAGTCTCACCATAAAACTTACTGGTGTGTTTGTAGCGGAGTCGTTCTTCAGGTCAGCTTTCTTCCAAGACACCCGCCTGTGCTCTGTAAGAACTACTGCTCGCTCAAGACTCCCAGTTGCACCATGGGAAGCAGGCATTTCCGAACTAGCTGACACAAAGCTGTGTACTGTGGTACCTGGATCCCTGCTTAGACCCAAATCCCTTCCCTAATACTTCTGAGAAGTGGTTACGTACCTTTTACAGACCCAAGTATTTCTCTAGACCCAACATCCCCAGCTTTACAACTTACATATCTACCTTGCAAGTATTTTTCTACTACCTTTAATCACTGTTTTGTCATTCATTTGGTTGATAAGTGGCATTTAAGGATAACTGGATAGTGAAGTAGCTATGGAGCAACATTTCTTTTGTAATTTTGCAATTACATGCACTTTGAAAAGGCACTGGTCTAATTACAGTGTACGTTTCTACCTCAGGTGAAGCTGATGGGCTACAAGGAACCGCTGAAATGGGTTGCACTGGGAGAAAAGGGAATGATGATAGCTCTACCTCAGTTAAGTCCTACGCAACTGCCATGTCAGTGGGGCTGGACTTTGCAACTGGCTGACATAAACTGAGCCTTGGGTAGCAGGGAACGCTGGTGTTTTGCCTAGTTTCTCATCACTGGTTTCTGACACTTACTTGCTTGACTGAGAACCATCAATAATTTCACTTTTTTTCTGAAAGGTGGGCTGTTATTCGTGGACAGGATGGAATGAACCTCAGGTGAATTCTAGCTCTAGGTAGCTGAATCTCTGCATACAATTTGTTTCTTTGAGCTTGTGTGAAAACTGAGCATCTACCTTGACCTCTCCACTGGTTTTAGCCAGTTTCTTGCCAAGTTACCTGAAGAAGGGAGAAAAAAACAACCAGGCACTAGATTTTTAAAGAAAGAGCAAAGCCAGCTCAAGCCAGTGTTCAAATACACGGAAGTAAGTTAATTTTTTTTTTTTTTGCATTAAAGAACGCATACAACTGACTTCCACAAAACTGTACAGTAAAAACTGTCTGTTTAAGAGAAGAGAATAAACTTTTTCCAGTTGTGTGCAACAACTGGCAGCTGGTAGACTGCAAGAACAGTCCTGTGAGGGACACCACAAATGCACAGTCATCTCTCATGATTTTTGTCATGGATTTTACTTGTTCCTACTGTTGAGTAATTCTATCCGTTACTGGGATACAGGTAAAGTGAGAGTTTTTTTGCTGGTTTGTATAATTTTACACAGTAAAAGCTGGCTCTTTTTTACAGCCACTGTTTTTACACAGTTACCAAGGTGCCTTCCGTGGATTATTCAACAAAACATATACTTCCACGACTAGCTTTTTAAAAAAAAAAGCAATAATCAGGAGTTGCTGAGAATCCTCAATTTTGGCAGAGATAACGTTTTAAGCAGAGGGTAGATGACATCCAACTTGAAAAATTCCCAAACTCATCCTGTGTCAGGATGTGTAGGGACAGACCTGCAGTGTGAAGTTTGCAAAGAGGGGGAGGTTAGCACAACAAAAAGCATGAATTGTTTCAGTGTGGAGATCAAAGGTTTATCTTTCCTGAGTAATGTTAATAATTGCAAATACTACTGTGTAAGTTAAATCTATCCTTTCAACTATGTCAAGATTTTCAATGATGGGCCAAATGAGGTTATTGCCTTTCCTGCCAGTAATGTTAATACACACACCTTTTACATTAAAATATTTTATTACAGTACAGACAATTGGGCTCAAAATTAATACAAATTAAGATAAAATATTTACAAGTTAATGTGTACAGTGTAGCTGTTTCAACAGCATAAACAAGAGAACTTCTAAAAATCCACATTCCTTTAGTATTCAGTAACAGAGAGAGCATCCCCCAGCTTGTTGAAGAGGAACACGCATCAGTTGGCAAAGGCTTTCTGAAGAGACTCTTTGGAAAAACATTCGTAAAGTTTAGGAAAAAAGAGAGTTTTCCTTTATAAAATGAAAAATTTGGGAAAAGAAGAAGAAAGAAGCCTTACTTCATTCTGCTACTCTGTGCTATTCTTGGATCACCATCATTAGTTTTTTCCAAAACTTACACACCCCAGGCAAACAAATGGATTTTTTAGTAACTTGTTGTAATACTGCCACCAGATGCCTTTCAGCTGCAATAAAAATTATCAAATGAATTATGGAAGAGTTCAACCACTTTTTTAATAGAAAAGTCTTTACAAACAATGATTCTTTCAACAAGAATATTTTTAATGGGTGTTGGAAACAGAATTCTATTAGAACAAATATGGGCTCGCTCCCACTTTTTTCAGAATGTTCTTTCTGCTGGTCTACCCCTCCTACACCATTATAAAATTGACCCAAGTCTCATCAGTAGTCACACGGGATTTGTTATAAATACACGATCGATCCCTATAAATGTGCAGTTCATTTCTCTAGCTGCTGAGGGGTACTAAAAGCTTCATAAACATTAGCAGCAAAATCTTTCACTTGTTCCATCATCAACAGGTCCTGGAAGAAATGTAAAGAATAAATTTGCTTAATGAAACGCATCCACCACTATCCTGGTTTTGCTGCAGCACATAATGCATCACGAGAGAAGCACCTGGCACTCCCACAGAGGTCTAACTCCAATTTCTTGCTTTAGAAAGGTGCATGGGCAGAACTGCAAGTAGAAACAAGTCAAGAGACCTTTTTGTGCTTCTGCACAGTTTACAAAGGGTTCTAGAAAAATAGTGTGTTTTTGGAAGACAGAAATATAAGAAGAGTGTAAGGTATGCCAATTGTTCCTACTTTTTTTTTAAAGCCATTGAAATTAAACAGACTGAAATATGTTATTAAAAAGAAACATACAACATGAATTTCAAAATTTTACTTGGGGTATTTAAAATAATTTTAAAAAGGCAGGATTCTTACCTGAACAAAGTGACTGGGTGTTTCACTGCATACTGAATGGATCTGTCCATTTATTATTGGAATTATCTTGGCTAAAGGAAGACTGACACTGGAAAGACTAGAAAAAGAACAAAAAAACATTAACCTAGACCTGCTCAGACATTAGTAAAGCCACTAAACTGTGATTATTACAATTCTAAATAATCACTACTTCAAAATGCACAAGACTAAAACGTACAGAGGAAAGGTTTTTTCCCTGTCAAGTCTTCCATTTAATACAGAGAAGTACCAAGGCAAAATTTGTCTGATCAGTTGGTGTTCCTGTGATACAGTTTCACACTTCTAATGCAAGAGAAATGTGGTTTAGCCAGAGCCTTTACACGTGTCCATGTACGTAAAACAGTTGTTGGAAGTGTTGGTCTACAATGACGCTCTCTCAAACTCTAAACCAGGTTTAGGACAGATATTTGGGGGATATTTTAAGTTATGTAAATGATATATAGTTAAATAAAACCATTACTCAGAACCACCAGTTATGAAAATAAACATACATAAACCCAGTTATTATTCAAGGTTTTAATTTTAATACTTTAGAAATCATATTTCAAGGATTTGAACTCGGCTTTTGCGTTCGTAGCACTCTCACTGCGCTGGTTAAAACCAAAGTGAACTTCAAAATAAAAGCTATTTTTAAACACTCTTCTAGGAGGAGGCAGAAGATACTGAATGTTAGTATCTTTTTTCAGCATACCAGCGAAGAACCTACCATAGAATTACAGAATATTTGGGGTTGGAAGGGCCTTTAAAGATCATCTTCTTCCAACCCCCCTGCCATGGGCAGGGACCCCCTCCACTACACCAGGTTGCCCAAAGCCTCATCCAACCTGGCCTTGAACACTTCCAGGGATGAGGCATCCACAACTTCTCTGGGCAACCTGTTCCACTACCTCACCACCCTTGGAGCAGTACATCTTCCAGTAGTCACCACCAGCGGGGTAAACCCCCCTTAGCTGGAAAGGCAGCCTGCTTGTTCAGTCTGGGCAAAATTGGGAAGTAGAGGTCTTCTGATCTCTGCTTTTAGGTCTGGAAGTGACGGTGGGAAAGGCACCTTGTCTGAATTCTTGCAACTTTGTGTGTGAAGTGAGGAGACTGTATTTATTCTTGAAAAGCAAGAAAGAGAATCCTTTCCAGCATGAGAACTTCAAGTAGGCAGAAAAATCAAGAGCCTTTTTGGAATTCACTGTACACCCAAAGCATTGTTCAGAAGAGAACCACAACAACAGAAAACACTTACCTATTTACAGAGCCATTCTGAGAGAGGTCCTGTTCAGTAGGTCTAAAAAACTCGGCCATATTGTCCAGCAGCCGACTGAATCCTCTATTTAAACATGTGCTTAAAACCGTACTGAAGTCTGGACTGGGAAAAAAAATTAAAAATTGCTTGATTCCTCAGATTTATTGTTCCAAACTAAGAAATGCTGCAAGTATTCAGTGCCACAGATGTCCCTCCCGTAAAGGAAGATGTATGACCCAGACAAAAGGCCATTAGTACAGCCACCTCCCCAGTAACTCCACAGCCTACGCTCCACCCTAAGGTTACTAAAAACCAGATAAATTTAAAACATCCCTCGCTTATAGAATCACAGAATGGTTTGGGTTGGAAGGGACCTCAAAGATCATCCAGTTCCAACCCCCCTGCCATGGGCAGGGACACCCTCCACTACACCAGGTTGCCCAAAGCCTCATCCAACCTGGCCTGGAACACTGCCAGGGATGGGGCATCTACAACTTCTCTATTTCTTCTAAATAATAACACAGAAGGGACTTATTCTTTAAATGCCCCAGATCTTTAGCAGCTAAATTATAAGAATATTTGGCATTTGGCTCAACTCACTGCTATTCAATATTTATTATAGAAGCCTCGCTTCCATAGCTCTGGCAAAGGATGCATACAACCACTCGCAAAACCACGCATTAAAAATAAATTCTGATAAGCCAAAACCACTGTTCGTTTTATCAAAGCAAGAAAATCCAATGAAATTACTCCCAATTTACCCTGGTTTAGCAGGAGACAAGTACTCCTCTGTTCCTGCATAACTACAGAAAAGGTGAGATAAGGAGGTCTGACTGGGAAGGACATCCTGGTCATCTTAAGGCAAGATTATTTCTTACAAATCAGTTTCAAAGCTCTCAAATTTGGAAAATGCCAGCCTGCAATTAGTGAATGTAAAAATTTAATGCAGCAGAACGAATGAAAGCTGACAGCTTTTTATATGAAAGTAATTGTCTTACAGAAACAATAGTTGTGAGGAGGGGTTTAGTATGAATACAGGATATTTCTCTCTACCTTTCGAGCATATCTCTAGTTTCATTAAGTAATTTAATTGTAGCAATGTCTCTTTCTGTGAGCCCACAGGCCTAGAAAAAGCAAAGACAGACACTATTTAGTAAGAAATTCATTGACAACGGTAAGAATAAGAGTAAAAATGTAAGTTTTGTACCACGGAACTAAGTCAAGATGTATAAAAGAAAATATTTATTGTCATAAATCAGATTCTTTGTAATTTGTGTTCTCATTTTCCTTTTAAATAGTCACTGTAGGATTTTTATTTTTTTAATAAAACCAATGTTAACAGGAAATACCAGACTAATTGAGCAAAGTTTTTTTTCCCACTTCTGACCTCCAAAACTGAAATAAACTCTGCACAGTTAAAGG